CTACGCAGCATTGTACATATCAGGAACTATATTTATCAATTGGAAAAGTTTCTTATAAACCATTCAACAACAGAAAAATATCATTTTCCTTTCATAGGAGAAAATTCATGTCGATTAATCATATAGGCGCAGAGAAAAATATTGTGAATCAATATTTCTTACTGTTTTAAGAAACTGATGAAGACTTCGTTTCAGAATTGTCATTTGTAATTATTTAAAAGCATTATCAAGATCAAGTTGACCTTTCTAAATCACTAGAAGAATGAATATTAGAGGTCTAACAACACTATGTGTATATATCAGAAAATTTCTTTTACTGCGACAACATAAACTACTCACAATATTTTTCTCTACATCTATATGATTAATCGACATGAATTTTCTCCTATGAAAGGAAAATGATATTTTTCTGTTGTTGAATGGTTTATAAGAAACTTTTCCAATTGATAAATATAGTTCCTGATATGTACAATGCTGCGTAGAGAGAACACTTCAATTCATTGAGCTATAAGTAGTTGATGAAGTATGCAGTGATAAGATCATGACATCACTGTATTTCCAGTTTAGTATGTGCTATAACGCTGAAACTTTTACGAAACATTTATGGGTTCATGAGTATGCTCAGAAAAACTTTTCAAGTGAATCAGACATTCCAAAGATGATTTCCATAGTGACGCATTGAAAATCATCAAACACAGAGATTCTGTAGATACCCTTTGACAACATGATATTTCGACAATCTAAAGACTTTTCTGATGAAAATCTCGTTGGAGAAAGCTGAAGAATCAAGCTTTCGAATGATAGGTTCTCCGCCTTTAAAGTGCTTCTCTGACTGAGATATCAGCAACGCAAGGTAAACACAGTGTTTGACGTATAACTCTGTCCTATTACATTGAATTGAGGTCAGGTTGGTATCTATGATCAGCATTTGTCACTACCTATGTGTAGTCAAAATCTGAAATGAAAAGCTTGAAATATCGATAAACTTCGGAGGACGAGGAAATTATGTTGAGCTGTGTACATGATCTTTAGTAATACTATGAATTTTCGAAAAATTGCACTCAGACAACTAAAGTACTTGAATGAATTCCGCGTGATGTCATCTCTGACTATCTTTTATATTCCTATTTTAAATCAATAAAATTCTACACTTTGAATGAACAAAGGTATATTCTTGATTCAAAAATTAATAAACCAAAGAAATTGAAAAACTGAAGGAATCTATACTTGTCAGAATGAATGGAAGTAAATAAATTTAAGTATCTTCATCAAACACATCAAATTCGGTCAGGTGAAGACAATTGTTGATACAAAACATTCCAATTGCTAAATAAAATTTCAAGTAATGCAGAATGAATGAGTCCAACATGTTAAGATTGTCTTTCAAAATTCGTAATTAAAGACAAGAAATAAAAAGAAAGATGTAAATGAATATCTTCAAAGTGAGGGGTGAATTGAACAACCTTTATTATGATTTCATCCTGACTAACAAGAATCATCTGATGACTTTGACTTATAATGGAACCTTTCGTACTGTACATTAAGAAGTTTAATCATGTTCGAATCAATTTTTTGTGCCATTTTGATCAGAAAGAAATGATGATTGTTAAAATAATTAAAACTCTTTTCCTATAATCAAATGTGTAATCGACAATTAATAACTAGCGCCATCATGTGACGACATCATCGTAGAGGAAACGTGCAATTGATGTGCAATGGCGATGTCATTTATTTACATCAACTTTGATGTAGCTATCTTTATCTCAACCATTTCATTGTGTCTTTTTTTTATACAAGGTAACGCTCGTCTCCACTCGCTCGGTCCCTTGACTTTATTAAGTTGGATCTGCGCAAGCGAACGTCCTTTGACGACTTTTAAATCGAACACATTGGTCACGCCCCCCTTCGTTCGGCGCTCGCTGGAGGCCTAACTACGGCATCTTCTGGATTTTTGTTCATTTTTTTTGTATAAGGTTCGTAGTCTGATATTAATATATAAATCAAGAATCTCCAGAGGTCTAAACATAATTCTGAATTCAAAACAATGCTCACGCCTCCCTTCGATCGGCGCTCGCTGGAAATCTACATAAGACATCTTCTGGATTTTTGTCTGTTTTCATGTGTAATGTTCGTAAACTAATATAAATAGAGCAAAAATCTCAAAAGGTCTAAAACTATTTCTGAATTCAAAACAATGTTCACGCTTCCCTTCTGTTCTATCTGCGTTCGCAACCAGTATAGATGAGAAACGCTATGAACTTCTCGGATTCCACCAAAAAACCATCCAATGTAATATACAGTTAAAAGGTTTTCTGCACATCCTCTGCAGACCCCAAGGAGGTTGGAAGTATTTCTAACCGATTCGTTATAATAGATCTTATTATTTATCTATACACCATCAATTTTATTACCCGTAGACTAGTGGCATCGCCAGAAAAAAGTTGTAGTGGGGGCTCAGCCAATCTAACCATACGTCTAGAGGGGGCTCGAGCCTTTTCTAAGCAGAGGTAAACCGTTTGTAGAGGGGGCTGAGCCCCCTCTAGCCCTACTCTGGACACTACCGTAGACCACTTTTTTTGTATTGTCACAGTTGACTACTATCTGGCGACATCTACTCCCGGCTCACAGAAATCGGTTGCTGACCTGTTCACTTCTTTGCATCAGTAAATAGTTCAGATGATCTCTTTGAACATTTTCTCTCTTATTTAAAAAAATGTTTTTCTACTGTTGTCTCTTGTGATTCGTTTATCCATAGAATATCTGACAGCCATTTTTCCGTATTTTGCACACACACACACAGACAACCATTTTGTAAGACCACAGACTAAAGTCAAGGGAATATTCATCATTTGAAAGATAATCGGATATGCAATACTCTCTTTCGATTATTACGAGAGTTTCATTTAGAAATTGGGCTCGTAGAATGTCATCAGATACTGGTATATTACGTACGCCTGATTCTGCATTCATCAATCTATTAGATTATCCTTTTAAACCGAATTATATTTATTTATCAAATCCTGGTGGGATTGGTAATGGAAAAACAAAATTACGTCTGCATTATTTAGACGAAGGAAACAAGAACAGTAGAGAAACAGTTTTATTATTACATGGTGAACCAACTTGGAGTTATTTGTACCGTCATTTTATACCATTGTTAACACAATATCGAGTAATTGCTTTGGATCTCATCGGATTTGGTAAATCGGATAAACCAATCAATAAAAGTGATTATACATACCAAAGACATGTTAACTGGATCAAAGAAGCTATTGAATATTTAAATTTAAATAATATTACATTATTTAGTCAGGTAAACATGAAGTAGGAATGCACACACAGCCCTATACTGATTGAGTACTAACTCAGTATTAGATCGCGCACAGTCCTATGCACTAAAATCTGTACATGTTTTGAAGAGCGATGTTGATATCTTTAACACATTCGAGGCGATGGGCCCACCGGTGGGCGCCACTACATGACGAGCCAAAACTTCCTCTAGGGCAGAAAAATTTGAATATCTCTGCCATATTTTGACCAAAGTAACTGGTGCTTTTACCACTGTGTTAAATTATCTTGGAACTCCACTCGAAATGACTTAGCAGAAATTTCATCAGTATTGAAATAGATAAATTTCTTCTAAGTCTAATATAGGATTGGGGTACTTTGATTGGTTTACAATTGGTTGGTACAAATGGAATAGGAAATCGTTTTGCACGGGTTGTTGCTTCCAATGGTTGGTTGCCTACAGGTGATGGACCCGTTACTGACGGTTTTTTGCGGTGGCGAAAGTTTGCATTGAAACAAACCAGAATGGATGTTGGTTGGATAATAAAACGTTCGGTTATAAGAAAAATGAAACCAGAAGAAATTGCTGCTTATGATGCTCCATTTCCAGATGAGAAATATCAAGCTGGTGCATTAATATTTCCCCAATTGGTACCAATAACACCTGATAATCCTTCATCACAATATAATCGTGATGCATGGAAAAATTTGCAACTATTTCATCGACCATTTTTAACGTTATTCTCTGATTCGGATCCAGTAACAGTTGGCGCAGAAAAATTCTTACAAATGTCGATACCAGGTGCTAATGGTCAACCGCATACTATTATCACTCAAGCTGCTCATTTTCTACAGGAAGATAAGCCACATGAAATTGTTAAACATCTTATTAAATTTATTAATGATAATCCATTGCCTCTCGATTCGAAACCATGGATCAAGTCTCAAGGGACAAATACATAATACAGTTTCTCACATGTTGCATCTTTTCAATTTTCAACATTGTGATGATTCTGTTTAGTTCTTTGTGATAAAATCGTTATGAACTACAGGATCTAAATTTTTTACGTGTCTCTGCAACGGCTCGATGAATTGAATTGTAAGAATAAATAGACATGATGAGTTTTCTATTGAACGATGACATTAAACAAAGAATCATTTTCAATGAGTATCAATCTTACGTTAGCTGTATACGGCAGATTATTTCACAAATGGCACTAGTTGATCTCATAGTTATTCACTTCGACTGATTAACCGATAATTCAGTAGAATTTTGAATGAAGATTTCCTTCGAAAAATGTTCTTCATCTGATAGGACGTCATTCAGTTTGTTTAAATCATTCGGAAGATAAGTTTATTTTAATTAATCATTTTTTGGAACACATTTCGATTTTCTTTATTTTCGAGTCACAGACTTTGTGTTATCTGATACAAATTCGCTGATTTTTTTGCATTTGTATCCGATCATATTCAACTAAAGCAAATTGACATCAATCAGTATAGACACTACCCTAACTGATACTGTATTGAATTGAGAAAAAAAAAGCAATTTTTTGTTGTTACTGTAGTTCGTCATCTGTTTTATGATCATTCTGTAATCATAAAATATTGTTGTTTTAATACATCTCATGTTCATTGGAAAAGAAAAGTCATGATGAGATCGATCGAACAATAGATTCAATCAATAGTCAATTCGATCGAAATGAGAATTGGATGATCAAGTTGAAGAGTTTTAAACTTTTATCTTTTTCGCATTTGGTAATTGTTCACTTGAGAGGCATTCATCTTGAGGATGATAGTGTTCTATGTCTTTCGGTGCACATCTGTTGGAGCTAAACTAATAGCAGATTCTGTCCAGATTTTTTCTTGTTTGTCACAATGTGTTCATCATTTGATTGCAAATTAGAAGTTCAATACACAGACATTATTTAGTTTGTCAAGAATGAATTGATCATCTTCAAAAGATCTACTTCATTCGTTATTGATGAAAGTTAAGAATAAAATTTATTCAGTAAAAAAATTTTCAACAAAACGTACATTTGTCTTCAGATTTAATGAGTGATCATTTTGTTGCTTGAATTCGATAGTTCTGGCGATTATCAATCATCGGCTGATATCAAAACTCAAAATGCCAATGATGAGAACCAATGGTTTTGCATATCAAATGGCTCATCATAATTTTTCCACTAATTCTGAGATAAATCTTTCATTGATCAATATGAGATTATTGAAATCCAACATGAACCATATCAATTTTCATTGATACAGATCAATGAAAATAATAATCGAAGAAGACGAGAGAATCAATACTCAGCTGGTCTGTTCTCATGTCAAATAACGGATTTGTTCTCTCTTGATCAGACAAAGAGGAAAATCGGTATCTTTTCAACAAGTGATGAGTGTTCAGATTCATAACGTGACTTGGATTTGTCTATCAACGATTGTTGGATCATAAATCAGGAGACACACCGACAAATCTCGTCGATTTCAGTTTGTCTTTTTTTATAGGAAAGAAAACATTCATGCATCTATCTTCAATAGCGGTGCGCTTCAGTCCAGTTGAATGTCTGAAATAAACTTATGATCCATTTATTTGACTCGATTTTCCTATCTAATCTATAAATTTTCGGATTTCTATTCAGATATGTGCGTGCATTTCTGAATTTGAACTGAGAAACAAGTTCCTTTTGTGATCAATAAAATAAAGTGTTATGAAGTATACAGTCAGTCTGATGAATGCAGTATTGCAAAAAATACAAATCCGAACACGTATCACAATATCTCATGAAGTGTGTCCTGTAGAAATGGTACAAATTCCATAGAAGTTGCGACAAACTATCGCATCTAATGTTGTGCGTAAAGTATAAAATTAATTTTCAGCTTCATGAACTGGTAAAAATGGTAAAGCCATCAATTTACGACAACAACTTCTGATTCCTTCATCCTGTGAATAAGCCGTAGCTAAACCAAGCGTTTGAATACGTCGGTATAATGACTGAACAAAATGGAAATGGCACCCTTTATGCGCACTTTCAGGAAACTAAAACGACAAATACATATATTTCATAGAAGTGATCGATAATTTTTACTTTAGCAGATATTGCTGGGATCAAGCCGCTTTCGAAATCCATCATAATTTGTTCAGACTTCCATATTCGACCCATAGATGCAGCTACAGTTTTTAATTCTTGAAATGACTGTTGATATGTGTTTTTCTTTCGATCAGGTAATATGCCAAATACACATGGAAGACCTGCAAACGAGGAAATAAAATTGATTGTTTATGAAACGGTGTATATCATACTGCAATCAAATTTCAAACTATGAATGGTGAAGATCTGATAAAAAAATGGTGGGGTGGATAAAAACGTGCCATCCATAAATATAATAGCACTGTCAAATAATACTTGTAGTTGTTTCGGACTAGCAAAAATTAACAATCGTTTTTTACGAGAAACCAGTTTGTCACAAATCAAGAAAGTTTCACCAGAAGCTGTAGTTTGATAACCATCAGGAATATCAAATGAATTAGAATCAGGAAGTGTTGGTGTTAATTGTCTGCGTGCTTGGTTCAACCCTGGTTCTAGAAAAAAAATATTAAGACACATTTGAAATTTGAACAATAATAACATACGTATATTGTAAACCATTGGAATAGATGCAAGAATTTCTGGTGAGAAATGACCTTTTACGATTTCTTCATCATATATTTTTTGTATTGATGCTGTCTCGTTTATAACACGTTCCTTGAGAACTCTTCGAAACCGTTTCACTTCTAAATTTTCTGGTTCAAGTAAATGAATATGTTTACCGATTGCCTGCAGAAAATTGTTATTTGTGTCAGTATGAATATGAGCCGTACAGTTTTTCATTGTACATGTCCAATAAACCTTTGACGAAATTTGTTTATTCAATTTGTAGATGAAACCATTACGAACCAATTGAGAACGACCTTTGTTAGAAGAAATAAATGACATGGAATTTATGTTGTTAGACATTTCACAGCCGAAGAAGTCACGATGAATGTGCAAAAATATATATCAGAATATCTAAAAGCAGGCGATATATATAGACCATCATAAAACAATACCTCGATCGTTCTTTGTTCCTTTGTATTCTCTATCTATCCGATATTCTAGAATGTTCGCTTGCAATAGTTTATTGGAAGAAAAGTATTAGCTAATCATCTCAAAATTTTCGACATTTTTTTTTTTCTATCAAATTTTGCTTCGATATTTATTTTTCGATCTTTTTCCGTTCGACAATTTTTTCTTCGACTTTTATTTTTCGACCTTTGCTTTTCGACAGTTTTTCTTTCGGCGTTTTCATAGTAAATCCTTTTGTAGAACAAGACATTTGATCGAATGACTAACAATACAGGGTGTTTCATAAGTCTTGGGACGCGACAAAATTTGTTTATATGGACACATAGGACAATGTCTAATCATTATGTTTCTATATCAGCTTCGAGTGCTCGTGACGACCTTTCAAATGATATATAATTGAATAAGATCATCCCTTGTAATAATGAAAATATAAACATGAGAATGTGATGATAAATTTTTCGAAATCGACCAATATGATGCAAGGTGTATCAAAATTTTTGCAACATTTTTTTTAATTTCGCACATATCTCAACGTAGGCAAATGATAAAGCCTTGAATTTTTTTTTAAAAGATGCGTCGTGAAAGGCTGTACAAAAAATGACTGCAGAAATACTTACTGACTTGTTTTGATGGCCTACTCAAAATGAACAACCTTCATGATGGTGCTACTGCCCAACATATTCAGTATAATAAAAAATATTTTGAAAACTTTTTAGTTTTATAACTGAGGTCTGTTGGCACAGATTTTGTAGAGCTTTCCATGACACATCCTTTAAAAAATAAATTCAAGATTTTATCATTTACCTACATTGAGATATGTCCCAGGAGATTCAATCCGATCTGCAGATTCGGTCGTTTTCGATCGGAATCCGACATCTTTCATAAAAAACCGATCGGATCCGATAGGATTATTCAGATTCGACAGGATCTGACTGCCCCATGATCTTCTGGGGCGCGAAATTAAAAAAAATTTTGCAAAAATTTTGATACACCTTGCATCATACTGGTCAATTTCGAAAAATTTATCATCACATTCTCATATTTATATTTTTATTATTAAGGTGTACGTAATTCAAAGTTCGAGCAGATGATAGATTCTTTTGAAACACACATCATTCGATAGAGCTCGATGCGCTCTACAATTCTGTCACCTTTAAAATCATTTTTGGTCCTTCCCGGAAGGAGAAAACCTTGAAATACTGGATCTCGCTAAAATGAGGTTTTGACGAAAAACCCACATAACTCTTTTTCCTTGTACTTTTGACTTTTAAGTCTTTCATATTCGGATTCGCCATGTCCGAATG